CAGGGGCTGTTATTATCCCCACTTTGCAAATGAGAAAATTGAGGCACAGATTGGATAAGCAACTTCCCAAAGTAAGTGGGAGCTAGGATTTGAACCCAGATTAAGTCATCTATAAATCTCCATGTTACATAACCTTTTCCAAGCTCTCTTGGTAGAGCTCACTCTTTTTACCAGCCCAAAAGCCTCAAGTCATTGATAATGTAGTGTTAGGTTGATGCCAGCAGTTGAGAAATTAATCTAGAGATGGTTGGGACCTCACAAAAGTCATCACACAAAAGTTGGAGGAAAATAGATATACAGATCCTCCCCCACCTCCACAATCACCCAGACCTCCGGGAAATGTATGTGTTGGGGAAGGGGAAGCTCCTGCAATTCCACAGTGCTCTGCTTCTGCCTCTGTTACCTGCAACAAAAAGCAAGAAACAAGTACTCCTTGAATAGGGATTCAGTGACAGCCTGTACACGTCCAGTTTATAGCCTGGGGCAGAACTCATGGCTCTGCTACAATCATAACCATGATTACAATCTAAGTCTTTGAAATCTGTTCTGCTCATTGTCCAAACCCTTCCCAGAGGACAGGAAGAACTGATGATGACACAATCCACAGCATTTCAGACTTAGACAGCTTCAGAGGTAGGTGGGTATCAGAGTACTGGGGCTGGAAGTATAAGCCTGCAAACTTTCTTATTTGTGGCTTGATTGGATGACTTTCCTTTTTAAAAGTTAATCCTCACCTGAGAATATTATTTCCATTGATTCCTAGAGAGAGTGGGAGGAAGGGAGTGGGGGGGGGGGGCAAGAAGAGAGAGAAAAGAGAGAGAGACAGAGAGAGACAGAGAGTTTAGCCTTTCTAAAGAGTTTTGAACCTTTTCAAATGTCTCCAGGTAATGTGCCTGCTTTTGAGCATTTGGGGGATTTCAACCAACGCATGTAGGTTATCATCTGCTTGGTTGAAAACACCAAAGCAAAAATAAAGACTTGGGGAGAAAACTGGTCCCTTGCAGGGAAAGACAATTACTCCATTGTAACTGTATTACTCATAGTGTCCAGACTTCTTTGTCTTTGCTTCTTTTCTTTCTTTCTGTTTGGCTTAGTCATGTGAAGCACCAGGTTGTGAGTGAGAGAGAACTGGGGAAAGAATTTTTTTAGAATATGTTTTTATAGATTTTTTAGAGAGAGAGGAAAGGGAGAGAAAGTGAGAGATAGAAACATCAATGATGAGTCCTAACCGATTTGGCTTAGTGGATAGAGTGTTAGCCTGCAGACTGAAGGGTCCCAGTTTCGATTCTGGTCAAGGGCATGTACCTTGGTTGTGGGCACATCCCCAGTGGGGGGTGCGCAGAAGGCAGCTGATCGATGTTTCTAACTTCCTATTTCTTTCCCTTCCTCTCTGTAAAGAAAATCATATATATAACATCAATGATGAGAGAGAATCATTGATCGGTTGCTTCCTGCATGCCCCTACTGGGGATTGAGCCCAAAACCTGGGCATGTGCCCTGACTGGGAATGGAACCAGTGACCTCTTTGTTCATGGCTTGACACTCAACTATGGAGCCACACCAGTTGGACAAGGAAAGGGATTGTTTTGAACACTACTCAGCCACCTGCTTCAGAACCCCATCTCTTATCACCAGTGAGCTGCCTAAAATAATAGCCATCAGTTATTTTGCATATTGTTTTAAGTCCTAGACCCTCTCTTACTTTTTCTCCTTCACACTGATATCTGTCTATTTTTGTGTATTTCTTTGATGTATCTTGTTTATTGGTGTCCCCTTTCCTAGAATATAAGCTCTTTGAAGGTTTTTTTTTGTTTTTTTTGTTTTGCTGCCTTTGTTCATTACTGTATTCTTTTTAAAAATATATATATATTTTATTGATTTTTTACAGAGAGGAGGGAGAGAGATAGAGAGCTAGAAATGTCGATGAGTGAGAAACATCAACCAGCTGCCTCCTGCACATCCCCACCGGGGATATGCCCGCAACCAAAGCACATGCCCCTGACCCAAATCGAACCTGGGACCTTTCAGTCCACAGACTGACGCTCTACCACTGAGCCAAAGCGGTTTCGGCTCATTACTGTATTCTTAGTCCTTAGAATAGTAGTAACTTTGCAGAAGTATTTGTGAGGCAAATAAATTTAGGACAGATGAAAAAGATAAAATATCACTCACTCAGCAGACTTAATTCCAAATAAGTTAAACAGTTTTAAAAAATGACCACAATTAAGTCAATGAAATAAAATGACTTCCACTATTCTGTAGAAGAAAAGAGACTAAGTTTAATAATAATAATAGCCAACATTTATTTTGTATATTCTGTGTGTCAAGTCATATGTATAGTGCTTCATATATTCAATGTGGATACTGATGTCACCCCCACATTACAGATGGGGAAAACTGAGGTTCTGAGAAATTAAGTGTTTGACCAATCATCTATACTAATAAAAGTCTAGGTGGTGCTTGTGTGCAATGTTGTCACAAGATGGCCATCACAAAGATGGCTGCCACAAGATGGCCATGCATACAGCAGAGGTGGGGTCTGGCAGCTGCTCCTTGTTGCGAGGCCTGGGAGTCCTGTGGCTCCACATGGTGCAGAGGAGGTGGGTCCTGGTACAGGAGGTGGGTCGCAGCAGGAAAGGGCAGTTGTGGGTGATCAGGCTGGCAGGGGAGGGCAGTTGTGGGCGATCAGGCTGCAGGGAAGCAATTAGGCATCAATCTGGCTGGCAGGAGAGTGGTTAGGGGAGATTAAGCAGGCAGGCAGAAGCAATTAGAGACAATCAGGTAGGCAGGCAGGCAAGTGAATAGGAGCCAGTGGTGTCTGGTTGTGAGAGGGATGTCTGACTGCCCTGTGGGATCGGAACTAAACTGGCAGTTGGACATCTCCTGAGGGGTCCTAGATTGGAGACGGTTCAGGCCGGGCTGAGGGACACCCCCTTCCCCATACACAAATTTCATGCACCGGGCCTCTAGTAACTCATATTAAACTAAATGTGTTGGGGTTTGGTTTCAAGCCTAGGTCTCTCCAACTCCAGTGCCCACATTTTGTTCTTTGTCTTTTACTATCCTGACAGTCTTCAGTGTGGTAACAAGTGGGGGAGAATTTTCCTTCTATGGTGAGATAAGATGTGTATTCTATTGGTAGAATAAACCAATTTCAATGGAGGAAGTACTGGTAACAACTATCTAGGGTTCAAGATAGGCAGTATCATTTTCCCAGGACTTCCAGATTGACAAATTTGCATTTAACCAAATTTTATTGGCAAGAAAGCTCCCAATGACATTAAATTTTTCCCCTAGGGAAGAGAAATTACAAATTGTTAGGTGTCTTATGATTAATGGGAAAATATAAATGATATGCATATGCATATTATGTTGTGAAAATATTCATGGGAGACTTGTTCTTTGTCTCAAATTTATTCAGAAGAGATACTTCTTTCCCTGCCTCTGTAGAAGAGCTTGGGTATAGAACTCGACTTTTCTAGACACTGCCTAAATTTACAGCATATATAAAAGCCTAAGCCTATGCAATAGTCAAAACACTCAGCTTGCATTAAAATTGTGGGTTTCCCCCACATCTAGAAATCTGAATTTGGGGAAGAGAGTGTTTAGTTCCCACTCTCTCTCTTCTCCTACAGTTGGCTAAGTGCCATTTTGGAGGTGGAGGAGGAAAAAAAAAGTAAGGGAATGTAGACAGTTCTTTCTGGATGGTCTATTGTGAGTGGATCTGGCCATTTAATTTCTATTTCCTTCTGCTGAGGTCACATGGCCCTCCCAGGCAGTATGCCTGGGATAATCTGGCACAAGTCCATACTGGCTTTCTTGCATTTGCCTGTCAAATTAGTGCAAGCTGTAGCCTCTTTCTTATAGCCATAAGTCACTTCAGCTAGCCTCTTAGGCCTTTGTGTTCTCAGGTGTGACTCAGACACCTGTCTACTCTGTCTCCAAAAACTCTTGGTACACATAGAAAATTCAGTGGGAGGTATCATTCAAGCCTTTTTGGTGATTTGTATCAATAATTAAGAGAGCACAATATTCTTTAAAGAAAATATGCTCAGAGATCTCTTCCAAAAATATGTCAAATTTCTGACAAAACAAGTAAAGGTTTTATGAGTCCCTTAACCTATTTTAGACCATCTTTCTCTCACTTTTCAAAAGTTCTACAAGTTGATTTGTCTCACAGGTCTTGGCCAAAACTTTCATTTTAAGTCATGTTACAACTTTTTAAATAAAAATCAAGATATATAATAGCAAGCCTGATATGAATTCAGTTTTTTAAAAAAAACAACTGAGGTTTGAGGTACATCAGATATATATATGTACCCAAAATAACATATGTCAATATAGTGGGATTACTGGAACTATCTGATTGTCTCCTGTGGGGGTCAGATGTGGTGGGGGCCAGATATGGCGGGGATTTCCCCTTTTTGTGTCCAGCACAGAAAGAGAGATGAACGAACCAGTTCTAAGTGGAGGCGGCCAGGGATTGAGAAATAATAGGAAGAAAGAAAGAAGACACAGAAATAGATTTAAAGCTGGGAGCTGGGTGGGATGCCATTCTCTCTGATGGAGAGAGACAGTGACGGTGACGATCTGACCCCTCCCAGCACATTTATTTTATACCCCCAATACCAGGAAGTATCACCAACTTATTTGCATTTTTAAGTAGGCCTTAGCATGCCTGGATTTACATATCTAGTCCTGCCCCTGCTGACACCTAGGCTGATATGAAGGCCAAGCTGATTACACTGTTGGCCATCTTGGGGAAATGTGTATCCATGACGCGGTTCTGCTAGTGGTCTTGGACTCAGCTGAGAATTTAAAGAAATGCCCATATGCCTTCCCAGGCAGCCCTCTACAGTCTCCTTTGTACTTTCCTAGTGTTTTAAGATTTTATATGCTAAATTTGAATGATTTTTAACTTAAGGAAAGGCAACACATTTGTAATTTTTTATTTATTTTTATTTATTTTTTTTTTTTTTTTTTGCACAGGAAGGCAGAATGTGAGATGGCCTTTTAGCAGTGCTTAGCTGACATGTATACCTGTTGTTGGATGGGTAGAGGACAAAGGGGAATAATTAGAAGACAAAGTGTAAAGAAATTTGATAAGCACTGCCTCTTACTTTACAACTTTATTTATATCTCCTGATCTCTAACAGCAACTGACAAGGAAAAAAAATCCCTGACAATATATATTCAGACAAGTATGGTCAGCATCATGAAGTTCTGGACACCTCTGGCATTCCTGTGTATGGTGCTACCGTCTGTGCTGGGAGGCATTGCGAAATCAACAAGTGAAGGTTTTAAGAGTCTCTTATAGGGACTGGGGTGATGAGGCCGTGTTGGAGACAAAGGGTGGGGGATTGTTGTGTTTGTTTCTGGACAAGTGAAGGGGCATTATTGTATTTGATTCAGGTCCTACCTTCCCTGGGTCATGTATTAGAGAATCACAATGTTTTCATGCACAGAGATCTAAGACATTTCCAAGTTGAGGTCCTTTCATGCTTCCTCTTCCAACCTTGAAAGCATCAACGAGTATCTGCCCACTTTTATACATATTCCATAGGTTAGAGGATATACTATTTCCCCTTTCAGGCTAACTGTGAGGAGGGAGCACCAATACAGAGTTGCTATATCTTCCCATACTTTCAGAAGCTCTGTGTCCTATCTGTGCGTACTTTCATGAGTAGTACCAAATGGGTATTTCTTTAGTGATAGGATCTTTCAGAATGTGAAAAAAAAATAGAAAAGAGACATGAAATGAGTCCTTAGTAAGGCAAAGTTGGGGGGGGGGGTGTCATATAATAAGAAAGATAAATCAATGGAGGAGACCGAAAAATCGAGTGAGAGAAAAGAATTTGAAGAGGGGCTGAGTTACTAAAGTCAGTGGGTCAGCAAGGAGGGGAAGAAAAAAGGAAAGAATCTGCTCTTTACTCTCTCTGGTCTAGCTTCTCACATTATGAAATAATATGAGGCTAGAGGGTATCTCAGGCCGTGAGATCTTCTGTTACAGATTTTATAGGAGAGCACATACAGACTGAAAGTACACTGAGTCCTGTCTCTAGGATGCTCAAAGAGGGTCCAGAGAGCTGCAACACAGGGCCGGTGGGAGCAGAGAAGGCAAGCCTATCGGTGAAGATGCAATGAGGCGGGTTAGGAAGGAGATTCTTTTTTGTAAGGCAGGTACCCTAGATACCTCGTTAGGAACTTGGGCTTGGATTCTCAGAAGGGTTGTTAAGCTTATGAAGGGCTTCTCTTCCCATGCTTGCTAACTCTTACAGTTCCATCTCAATTTTAGATTCGGAATCAGTAATTGGGGAGTGCTGGGGGAAACCAAACGTCGTGGACTGTGCCCTGAAGTGTTCCAGAAGCTTCTATTGTCTAAGGGTAAATTACACATGCTGCTGGACCTATTGTGGAAACATCTGTTTGGAAATTATAGTGAGTTGGAAGATGTTTCTATTGATGCTGTTATTCCTAAAGAGAGGACTGATGTACCCCAAACCTTAGGCATAAAAGTAGCAGAAGAAAATATCTCCTACACCTGGAAAGCAATTCACTAGCAAATAAACCAAGACATCAGGTTGGGACTCATTGCTTCTCTCATTATATAAGCAATGCCTGTGCTCTCAGTATATTATGCAACAGTTTACTTTTTTCCTAATTTTCATACAGATTTCTTTTGTTGTTGTTAATCCTCACCTGAGGGTATTTTTCCATTGATTTTTGAGGAGAGTGGAAGAGAGGGAAAGACAGAGAAAAACATCAATATGAGAGAAACACATTAATTGGTTGTCTCCTGCATGAGCCCTGACAAGGACCCAGGCTGGTAGGAGTTTGCAACCCAAGTACATGCTCTTGACCAGAATTGAACCTGGGACCCTTTGGTCCACAGGCCAATGATCTATCCACTGAGTAAAACCAGCTAGGGCTCATCCAGATTTCTAATCATTGCCTCCATAGCCAGGCCTTTCAGTGAGCCCTTTGTCTCAGCCAGGACTCACATTTCTACCCTTCTCTGTTCAATCAACTAATACCACACTTCCTACCCACTCTGGAGTGCACAATTCCTATTGTTACAAAAGTATGTCTGTCCCATGTTCTGGTGGATGGGTAATATTAAGCTTGGGGATAAATACTTATTTCTCAGAGCTTTATAGCCTCTTAACATCTACCCTTTCTCTCTTACAGCAAATCGATGACGAGTAGCTAAAACCATAACCTCTTACCCAGGACACCAGTCAATTCTCACTGAGGGCTGGGCAGGAGCAAATTCTTGACAAATAAACTCATTTAGCAACAATGGCTGTTGGCTTTTTTCTACTCTAATCCACTACTCTTGATTGCCTTATTAAAACCCGTAAATGGTTCTTATTCTACAGTGTACAGAAGCTTCCAACACTTCTTTCCCCATCTGATTACCTTATCACTGATAGGCTAATCTTCTAGAGTACTCCTATCAGCATTGAGCATGTCGAGAGCATGAGAAGGGAACAAATAATGCAAAACCCATGGAAACCATGAGACTAAGTGCTCTGAAGGCTGAGATTTATTATATTGTAATAGTATGCTGATCCAGATCATGACATGCATTTGCTTCTCTCTGCCTTCACAAGATTCAAGGTCTTCTAGGGGTTCTCACTCTTCACTCTGCCTAACACGGAGGCACACAGTTGTTCTAATAAGACAAACAGGCAGTGATGTCCAGGTAGTCTCTGAGTTCCATGCAGTAGGGTGACATGTCCAGAGAACTCTCTGGAACACAGGTCAGGGCACCAGTTATCACAAGGAAGAAGAACAACTGGTTCCAGTATAATTCATGGTACATGGTGCTCACGCCAGGGGCACAGAATAGGTGAGCCTGGCACCCACAGTGTTCCACATGATAGGAGCTCTGGACTTGGACGTGGGAGGTCATTTGTTATGTGAGCCCTGGGAGGTAATCGTGCCTCTCTTAATAGTCTCTTCAAGGGTGTTTGAGGCATGGCCAAGCACTGGGAAGATGCTTGGAGAGTGAGGTTATCTGAGAAAGAACCAAATAAGAATTTCTGTAGAGTATCCCTTACCACCTACCCACTCTGGTGATGTCTGTGCTGGTGGTTGGTCATGACCTCTTTCCCAAGGCCCCCTTGCCCAAGAGCAGCTCTCTCTCTTTTTTAAAAAAAATATATTTTATTGATTTTTCACAGAGAGGAAGAGAGAGGGATAGAGAGTTAGAAACATCCATGAGAGAGAATCATCGATCAGCTGCCTCTTGCACACCCCCTATTGGGGATGTGCCCTCAACCAAGGTACATGCCCTTGACCGAAATCGAACCCAGGACCTTTCAGTCCCCAGGCCGACGCTCTATCCACTGAGCCAAACCGGTCCCGGTGCAAGAGCAGCTTTTAATACAGATGGAGAAGATCCTTAATACCAGGAGCCCTGTGATGCTTCTGAGGTGGGTCAGAGGCTCTGGCCTGATGGAGGCAGATTTCCTCCTCGGATGTCTCCTGCTTTGGTGCCCAGAAGGAAGCACCGGACCGGAGTGTCACACTGCACCCCTGCCTTTAGCATGGGCTGCCTGCCTGAGTTCTCCACACTTGATGCCAAATCCCGATTGGCCACACAGGACTCAGTTCCTGGATCTAGCTCCAGCGCCATCAGTAGATGAGTGGATAAAGAAAGCTGTGGTACATATACAACATGGAATACTGTGCTGCAGTAAGAAAGTAGGATGTCTTACTCTTTGAGACAGCATGGAGGGACCTGGAGAGTATCATGCTAAGTGAAATAAGCCAGTCAGAGAAAGACAAGTATCACACGATCTCACTCATAGATGGAATCTAATGAACAAAATAAACTGTTGGATAAAATAGGTCCAGTGACATAGAAGCATGGAACAGACTGTCAAATATCAGAGGGAAGGTGGGGATGAGTGGGTGGGTGGGGAGAGATCAACCAAAGAACTTGTATGCATATATGCATAACCAATGGACACAGACAGTAGGGTGGTGAAAGCGCGGGGCAGGCTAGAAGGGGTCCATGGGAAAAAGGGGACATATATAATACTTTCAACAATAAAGACTTTTTTTTTTTTAAAAAGTGAGCAAACAGGGAGCTCAGAGGAAATACACTTCTCTGGACGTATGGTGAATGGCCTGTCACTCTCTTTGGCCTTGGGTATGTCACTTAACTACTCTGGGATTCATTTTCTTCATTATAAAGAGAGAGTTACTTGATTTTTACAAGGAGAGAGAGAAGAAAGGGACAGGGTTGGGGCAAGTTAAAGAAAGGTCTCCTTGGGGGCCTCAGACACTGTGCCGAGGGTTTACCCTCTGTCTTGCTTATGGTTAACTTGGCCTTTGTGACTCCAGGGTGAGGCTGGTTTTTTTTGTTTGTTTGTTTGTTTGTTTGTTTGTTTGTTTAGCACTAGGGGATGCCACCCATGAGCAGTTTCTCCCCCTGGGAGTACTGGTTCAATGAGCAGAGCAACAAGAGAGCTGATCCATGCAGGAGTGCATGGGCCAAAGAGCGAGAGAGTAGAGAAGCATGACAAGGGGAGAGGGACCAGGGACCAGGACCCAGAGAGGTGGGGGCGTGGTGGGGTCTGCACTGGGTTCTCAATGATCACAAGCAATAGGAAAAAAAATAGGCAGGTTCTAGGGCAATTGCTCTGGTTTGTTTGCCAGAAACAAGCCATACAGACAGGAGGGTAGTATTGCTATTGACTGTCCTGTGCCTGAGATTTGAGGTCTTTGTTCTTTGGCGTTAAATGGAGGGCTGGGGGAGCAGGATGCACAGCCCAGCCCCCTCTCCCACTCAGAGAATGTTCATGCAAATTCTCCCACAGAAGCTTAAACAGCATATGTTATTTGCTTGACAGTCTCTGTCTTCTGTACAGGTGCTTCTGCACAAATGTATCTTGAATCTCTTCTCACAGATCTGGATTTCTTTGGGTGGCAGTGGCATACCTGAAACAGCAGAAGCAAGGTCAATAGACATCCCCCACACTCCCACAGAGTACGCTTTGAAAATGAACAGCCTCCTTCAAGACTCAAGACACATTCCACTCATGACATTCTTAGACTTTTTAGGGATCTCACTTTCTGCCCCTCACCAAATCCTGGTGATTGATAGTATCTTTAATTCATCACCTCCATTCTCCACCAATTGAGATCTGGACCCTCTTTGTACTTCTGCAGCCAGGACCCTGTCTCTCATGTTAGTCATGGCCTTGGTGAAGTTACCCCATAGAATCTACACTCTGACTCTGAGAACTCAGAGCCATCCAAGACATCTGTAACCCCTCCCCATACTGTCCAGAATTTGCAGAGTTCAGAGAAGATTAACTTGCCTGTCCAACCCTCTCTCTCCTCTTGTCACTGTCTGCCCCTTCCCCCCAAATAACATTTGTAATATTTCCCTTCCACTGTCATTTATCCTGGTCTTCTGGTAATAATTTTAAGTTGACCCTTTACACCCCAAAATTTGCTTTCTCAATGTCCTTTAACTCTAGACCTACTCCCATAAACATCTCTGGATGTTGATTGTGACATATGTACATAAATCAAAGAGTAGTTGCTTTGTTTTACTGTCTGACTCTCAGCTCTGTGCATCTATCACTATTGTATGTACCATTTGTCTCTGGACTTAGAGATTGGAGAATAAAAAGATGTAGGTTGCCCTCCAACCCCATCACTAGTAAGAGGGCTGAAGGGCCATGATTTGGAAGGACCCAGAGTCTTTAGAGTCCTGTGGTCAGAGATGGATGTGCTGAAAGGTTCAAGTCCAGGTCATCCTTAGCTGGACACAGCTCCTCCTTCCCCCTCCCCATCCCAGCCCCCAGCCCATCACCTACTGTTCATCTTGTTCCTCCTAAGGTGCCCTCCCTGGGCCTGCAGCAGCAGGACACAGAGAAGCAGGATGGGCAGCAGAGCCTGGGTTGGCATGACTGACCAGATCAGTGGGCTCTCTGTCTGGCACAGACTTTCCTGGAAGCTGGTGGGTGGAGGGAAGGTAAGAAAGAGCAGGTTATTCTGGGCTCCTCCCTGCCTCCACTGGCCAGGCCAGGGCAGGGCAAGGAGTCCTTGTGTCCTCCAGCGGGCCTGCCCCTCCCCTCCCCATAGCCTGTTCTATGTGGGATCTGGGCTTCTGCAGAGACCGCCCTTCCTGTCACATAACTAAACCCTCTCCTTTTGTAAGCAGAACTTTCCCCCCTGAAAGATGTAATCTATTTTTTTTAATTATAAAATAATTCACAGAAAAATATGTAACTTAAAAGTGATGATAGTCTCATTGTGTAGAATTAACCTGTGTCTCATTGTATAGTTGATCCTGAACAACATGGATTTGGATTGCACAGGTCCACTTATCCTCGGGTTTTTCCATAAATACTGTTGGCCCTTGGGTATCCTTGGATCTCTCATCTGCAGCTTTAAGTAACTATGGATTGAAAACAGTATTTTTGCATTTCAAACACATAATTAAAAAATATACTGTTTTACATCTGCCATCGGTTGAATCTGTGGATGCTAAGGGCCAACTAAGGGGAATCAAATGTAGTAAGTGGATTTTTGAGTGTCTTGGTGTTTGCGCCCCTAACCTTCATATTATTTAGGGGTCAACTGTGTTATCTTTTTAGTTTGTTTGCATATTCCAGATAAACAATTCTGTTTTCCTCACATCTTGAATCACCCACCTGTTAAAAAAAAATATTTTTATTGATTTCAGAGAGGTGGGAAGAGGGAGAGAGAGAGAAACATCAATGATTAAAGAGAATCATTGATCCGCTGCCCCCTGTACACTCCCTTCTGGGGATTGAACCTGCAACCGGGTCATGTGCCCTGACCAGAATCAGACAGTGACTTCCTGGTTCATAGGATGATACTCATTCTCTGAGCCACACTGGTGGGCAGAATCACCCACCCTTTGTTACCCATCTTGTCTCATCCTAATTTAATCCTGTAAATGTTTCACAAAACATGGTTTTCCAAATTGTATAACTCTCATTTAAAATAAATACCTATTGTCAGGCATTTGTGTTGTAGCCATTACTGATTATCTAGACAATATCATGTTGAGCATTTTATTCATAAATTCTTAATTTAAAAAAATAAATTTATTGGGGTAACATTAGTTAAGAGTTACATAAGTTTTAAGTGTATAATTCTGTAATACATCTGTATATTTCATTGTGTGCTCACTACCAAAGTCTAGTAGTCTCCTT